GTGATTTGTGGAACAATCTGGAAATAAAATCTAGAAAAATCTTATCGTCGATCATCACTAAATAAGGTGCGATCGTCGTTGACCAAATATGGCAAAATCCCTGACTGTAGTCCGTAGAAACATTGCAATCAAAGAACATTTAACGGCTTACATTATGTTTCATATCTTTCATAACTAAGCCAATATCTAACTCCACCATACAAACAATCGCCAACAGATGTGATGTAGCTTTTATATTTAAACAGTGGTCTTGGGTAACTTGTAAGGATAATATTAAGGAATTAATAGAAATTGTTCTTCAGCATTTAACGTTAAAAGAAATATTCTCATATAAACGGTGTATTGATTCGTTCCACAATGTTGGAATAATAATTCCACACTAATGACGGCTTACAGGTACACATGAAAATAAGTTTTTATAATTGTTTCGGAGGTCATTAAATATTACATAGTAAATCATATTGAAAAAGTCCAGAAGTTTACGCCAAACATGTACTATCTCACCGTACCACTTCAAATTTCATGTGACATTAAAGATAGTATTGGTAAATACGTAAGCGTAAAAAGTTGAGATTTACTATTTTTTAAAGTTACTTAAAACATACCATAGCTCTTGTTATAATGTCGGATGATAGTACTGATTTTCAGGATGTGGCATTTACTTCTGCTCAAACTATTGCCGAAATTTTGGGTTACTACATTCCTATAATTAATGCAGTTACTCATATTGCTAAAAAAGTTACTGAAACTTATCAAAATTCGGAAACTAACAAACAAATTTGTTTAATAATGACTGAACGAGTTTTAACTGCTGTATATGCTATGGAAAGAATGATGTTAAGGCAAAAAGAGAATGAACAACTTTTTCGTCAAAATACTTATTATTTAGCTTTCAAAAGATTTCATGTTGTTTTGTCAAATATTATGGACTTTACAGTTAAAGTTGCTAATTTTAAAGGCTACAGAAAATTTTTTAATGCAACAATTATTAAAAATCAATATGAAAAATTAACTAAAGAATATGATGTGTGCATGAAAGATCTACATTTTACTATTGCAATTGCCAGTGAAGAACAAAGAGCAAATGATGCTAAAAAAGTTGATGAGGCTTTGGAGGATATCGGAAAAGTATATAAAATTTATAATTAACCTTTTTAATATTTTTAAAATATTTTATAAAGTAGTTATATTAAAGTTTTTATTTGTTTAGACTCTCGAAAAACTTGAATCTAGTATTGATAATAAACTGGAAAAACTTGATACGGTTACTCAAGAAATTCATTTCATACAATCTCAAATATATAAAGCTAAATTATTTGAAGAAATCAATATCATTGCTCCAAAAATTGAATCAAATGAACTGAAAGATCCTGTTCGGAAAGATAATCGTGGTTCACAGCAGCGTATTATTATTAAGAAAATTTATAAAGGATTTGATGTTGCATGCATACCCATCATAGATGCTGAAAAACATCAAGGTGAATTAAAGATTCTTGGAAAATTAGACCTATCTCCAAACATTCTTCGTTTCTATGGTCTTTCAAATCTTGACGGTCGTGAAGTTATGGTCTCTGAATGGGCTGAATATGGAAATTTGAAGGAGCTTTATGAAAATTTTGATATTTGTTGGACCAGGAAAATACAAATAATTCGTGATATTTGTCGAGGAATATTATTCTTGTGTGATGTGAATATCTTTCATCATGATATTAGATGTGAAAATATTTTGGTAAGAATAATCAAATAAAATTACATCTGAATTCAATATATAAATGATAAAAAAATTATATATTAAATTATAGATAACAAAAGGCCTGGATCCGAAAATTGGGAATTTCAAATATTCACGCGAGGTAGATGATCTTTCTATTAATCTTTCGAGAAATTTATTAGATGTAATTCGTTGGATGGCTCCCGAACAAATGGAAAGATATAGAGACGATTGGATGACTCCTGAGCAAAAGGAAAAAAATAAAAATAAAGGTATACTCGTAATTGCGAAATTTACAGGTATTTATCGTGTAACCTTAAGAATGCCTTTCAACCTATATTTTATGCTTTCGTTAATTTTTTTATTTTTTTGCGTTAGCTTTGGAATGCTTATTTGGGAACTTTGTTATGAAAAAATTCCTTACAAGCAAAAATCCTTTAAAGACATACCGGCTTACGTTATAAGTGGTAAACGAGAAAAGCTTTTGATAGGAAGATTCGATGATCCTAATGGTGAAAAGATTCAAAGAGCGCTTATTAAAGTTATTGAAGAAGGTAATTAGTTTAAATCATTCTTATAAAGCATTTTATAATATTCAAATATACTGATTTTCCAATTTTTAACAGCATGGCATCCTGTACCGCATGAACGGATAAGCATTACAAAGTTAATTGAAACGCTTGAAAATTTAGTCATAGATTATCCGATCATGAAACTTACCCCAGATCTTTTACCTGATGGAATGTTAGACTTTGATGGAACAATTACTGCGAAAACCGATGATTCAAGATCACCAAAGTTCACTGAAGAAGTTTCAATTCCTGATGATCTATTTAAAGTCGAAATATCTCTTGATGAAGGAATCAAGCTTCACAGACAGAAAAAATACAAAGAAGCATGGAAATGTTTTAATGAAAATGCTGATCTTGGCAATGCAATAGCAAAATATTGGAAGGGGTATTATTTCTTTGAAGGATATCATGTCAAAAAAAATGTTGAAAAGGCAAATGAATTATTTAAAGAAGCTGCTGATGGTAATTTTCCTGATGCGCAATATCGATATGCGGCTTCATTATGTTCTGAAATTAAAAATGAAGAAAAACGCAAAGAATTTCTACATTATTTAAAATTGGCAGCTGAAAACAAACATACTGATGCTATGCAGTTTTTGGGTGATATTTATGTGAACGGAAAAGCTAAGGTGGCAAAAAATAGTGAGCTTGGATTATACTATTTGAGGTTGTCGGCCTTGAAAGGTAACAAAAAAGCAATTGAGCAATTGGAATCTATGAATGAAAAAATTAGTGGTTAAGATAATAAAACTAAATATCTAAGAGTGTAGTTTGTAATCTGAAAGATAATATAAGATTAACAAACTATATATAGCTTGACCACACACCACAAGGAACTATTTAATTTGGTTTCCTCAAGTGTTTAAATATATGAATAAAAAATCGGTTGAGGCTATATAATCGTATAACTTTATTGAAATTAACAAGTTCTTTTTTTATAACACTTTTTGCAATATTTATTTTTAATATTAAATTTAATTTATCATTGCAAATTTTATTCTATATATTTATATCATGCAATAAATTCTATAATATTTTATAATTTTTACCAAAACTTCCTATTTTAATATTGCATATGATTATTAATAAAACAGATAAAATATAATATTGCATATAATTATTAATAAAACAGATGAAAATATAATATAAACCTTTTCTGTTATAGAATTTTATCTAAACAATAGATTATCTAAAAATTAAATTTGAATAGTTAAACCTAAAAATTATATGAATAATACGAAAATGGATGCTTAAACCTACTTTTAAGCACTAGTAAAAAAAAAATACCGGGAAGACATACTTACCTACCTTACTCTAATCTTAATTAAGTGCATCTACCTCGCTTAAGTACTTTAAAAAAATATATAAAAAAAATATAGTCCGAATTAACCCGGTTGTTATATTTTTAATTAATAAAGTTTGTGTCTCTAAGAAATAAAAAAATGAATGAGATGAGATACTCTTCTTCGCAGAAGCAGAATTTCGTTTCCGCTAATCATCTTGGTGGAGATAATCATCATCATCACGCCTTCAGCAAGTTGTTTTATCATATTATTTCTTCGTTTATAATATATACTGTAAATTTTGACCATAAGCGTGTATCCTTTAATAATGGTAACATTGGGTCAAAAAATTGGCTTAGGGCGTTCTCAAGCATATTTCTCAATGAATACCTGATTGATTAGTTTAATAGATGGACCAATCAGATTCTTTGCTATGTCCATTGAAGGGGTACTTAAGGAGGACGCCCTTAGTCAGTTTAGTCAGGATCACTATAATACTTTTCTTAGCGGTAATAATCAATGTTTTATATTAAATTCTAATATCTCAATTCATCCTTTAGCCTACCGCTACATAGTTGAGATTATAGGATGGTTGAAAATATTAAACATTAAAAAAAAAAATCAAACGTAATTTTATTATTATATTATTTATATTTAAATCTTTACATATTTTATATTTTATCAATGAAATTTTGTTATGAAAACTCTCCACTACAATCGAAATCTCCACTGAAATCTCCGCCGCAATCTCCTCCAAAATCTCCATCACCAAAGTCTCCACCACCATGGTGATCAAAACCACCATCATCTAAAGCGTTATGTAAAGAACTCATATCATACATTCCTCCCGAATCATCAAAATTCTATAAAACAAGATTTTGAATCAGTAACAATGTGGTGTAAGGACATGATAAGAAAAAAATACGTACATGTTGATCATATCCACTATGATAATTGCCGTAGCTGTCTTGATCATTGTCTTGATAATGGTCATGATAGCTATCATGATAACCGCTTTGATAATCACTTCCTTGATAGCCACCATCATGACTGTATTGATAATCGCCTTGATAGCCACTGTCTTGATGTTGATAATAACCACCTTGATAGTCACTGTCTTGATAGTTACCGTTTTGATAGCTACCATCTTGATCGTGTTGATAACCGTCTTGGTCTTGGTTGGCGTGATAATCCCCATCTTGATAATTATTATGTCCATATATTTCATTTTGAACACACACCTGATCCTGGGAATCTGTATTATCTTGGTTCTGATTATGGTGATGAGAATCTTCATGATGACTTTGATGATTATGACTTTGGTGAGAACCTCCATGATGACTTTGGTGAGAACTTCCATGGTGACTTTGGTAAGAACCTCCATGATGACTTTGTTGAGAACTTTCATGATAATTTTGGCGAGAACTTTCATGATGGTTATGGTGAAAAATTCCATGGTGATTGTGGTGCAAAATTCCATGGTGGTTGTGATGAAATATTCCATGATGGTTGTGGTGAAATATTCCATGGTGACTTTGCTGAGAATTTCCATGGTGACTTTGCTGAGAGTTTCCATGGTTGTTTTGCTGAGAATTTCCATGGTGATTTGAATTTCCATGATGACTTTGCTGAGAATTTCCATGGTGATTTGAATTTCCATGATGACTTTGCTGAGAATTTCCATGGTGATTTGAATTTCCATGATGACTTTGCTGAGAATTTCCATGATGTAAAAGGGATTGTCCTCCAAGTATGACACCTCCAAGTATGACACCTCTTCCTCTATTACTGCTTCCTCCACCTCTATTACTACTTCCTCCACCTCTATTACTGCTTCCTCCACCTCTATTACTGCTTCCCCCTCTACCGCTGTTACCTGTCCCAACACTATTGCTTCCCATCCCAGCACCATTTCCCATTCCAACACCTTTGTTTCCCATCCCAACACCATTATTTACCATCCCAACACCGCTATTTCCCATTCCAACACCATTATTTCCCATTCCAACACCATTATTACACATTCCAATACCGTTATTTACCATTCCAATACCGTTATTTACCATTCCAGCACCATTATTTATCATCCCAACACCGGTAATTCCCATCCCAACACCGGTATTTCCCATTCCAATACCGGTATTTCCCATCCCAATACCGGTATTTCCCATCCCAATGCCGGTGTTTCCCATCCCAATGCCGGTGTTTCCCATTCCAATACCGGTATTTCCCCTCCCAAACCCGGTATTTCCCCTCCCAAACCCAGTATTTCCCATCCCAAACCCGTTGCTTCCTCTTCCAACTCCATTGCTTCCTATTCCAGTACCTCCCGTCGAAACGCCACCTAGTCCAACTTTCATTTTACTACCTTTTCTAAGACCTGACATAATTAAATTAATAACGTCTTGAGATTTTTTCGAAAATTTATCTATTGGACCAATTTGTTCAATGATATTCGTATTACTAGGCTGTTTCGTATACTTAACACGACCCGTTTGATTAGGATAGCCCGTATAATTAGAATTAGGATGGCTTGTATAATTAGGATGGCCAGTATAATTAGCATGACCTGTATAATTAACATTTCCCATATGATTAACATAACCTGTATGATTAGCTTGTGATACGTTCATGCCTTGTGCTGGCTGTTGATTCCCATTAACAGTATTTCCAGTCACCGGTATACCACCATTACCCACCAAAGTATATGACCACGATGTTTGAATACCGTCATTAGACTTTTGTTGATATTGAATTATTTGTTGATATTGTCCGCATGCGGCAATAGCATTACCGATGTGTTGTGGTTGTTGAAGTTGACCATTTCTATCAGGAACGGTGTTTATAATGTTTTGTTGTTGCTGCTGTGGTTGTTGTTGAAGTTGACCATTTTTAACAAGAATGGCATTTGCAATGTTTTGTTGCTGCTGCTGTGGTTGTTGTTGAAGTTGACCATTTCCAACGGGAATGGCATTAATTATTTGTTGTTGTTGTTGAAGTTGACCATTTCCAACAGGAATGGCATTTACAATGTTTTGTTGTTGCTGCTGTGGTTGTTGTTGAAGTTGACCATTTCCAACGGGAATGTCATTAATTATTTGTTGTTGTTGAAGTTGGCCATTTCCAACAGGAATGGTATTTACAATGTTCTGTTGTTGCAGCTGTGGTTGTTGTTGAAGTTGACCATTTCCAACAGGAATGGCATTTACAATGTTCTGTTGTTGCAGCTGTGGTTGTTGTTGAAGTTGACCATTTCCAACGGGAATGGCATTAAATATTTGTTGTTGCTGCTGTTGCGGTTGTGGTTGCTGTTGAAGTTGACCATTTCCAACAGGAATGGCATTGACTATGTGTTGTTGTGGTTGTCCATTTCCAGCAGGAATTACTTGTGGTTGAATAACTTTAGATTGTTGAGGTGGATCATCCTATTTTTATGAATAATAAGATGAAAAAATATTTCTTTGGAACGAAAGTTTAAAAAGGGATTCAACTTACCCAGATGGTTTTCTTATTAACAGGATCAATACCTACAATAATAATAATATTATAGATTGTATATGCGTAGCATTCAAGAGATAAGTCAAGAAAATGAACGCACCATAACACCGATTTTGGTTTGGATCCAGCTAATAATTATAAACTAAGGGATTAAACTAATGATGATTGTGAATCGACTAAATGCTTATGATTATCTGCTTACCCGTTGTGTCAATCCTTGCGGTAAAGGTCCAGACATTTTTTTGATGCAAGTTTATAATTAAAGGAAGGTAAAAATTTTTATAAACGCACTCTAATGGAGCTCTTAGCGAAAAGAGCAAAGTTTTAGTTAAATTTGGTTTAGAGAAGTTTTGTTTATTTTTTGTTAAAACGCCCATGCAATTCTATTTGAATAGCAGAACAAAAATTTACATCGTGTTTGTGTAAAAGCAAAAAAGGAAATTTTACAAAAACATGCATGTATCACGTGAATTAAGCGAACAAGGAAAATAGTATATTGCCTTTTTAAAACGTAAGAAGAAATTCTGAAAATTTACAGTTTGGCTATTTTAAGTAGGATTTGCACCATATGCAATCGTAAATAACACACGAAAAGTCGATCTGTGCCACCAAAATCTATGTGCATAATGGATTTAATAATAAAATAGTTTCGCTTAAATTCCTTGGCAATATGTATCGAACCAAATATATGTATTGTTGCAGATCATAATGAAATCGGATTAAAATGATATTGAAGGTTTCTATTTAACCCTTAAAACCACTTTTGTCTATACAAAATTTCATTTTAATTGTCCAGCAAACATTTGATGATTTGACTATATAGCACATCAAAATCTTGCACCAACAAAGAAAAAAAACAACAGGTTTGAAAAGGCATTCAGGAGGAGATCGTGTAACAGCGCCTTGATTGTTGGTAACGCTGAGTTTTAAACCGTTACACGTTTTCGGATGAATCTATTTCTGTATTTGCGTAACAGCTCACTGTATTACACCGACTAATGAGTTTGTGCAAAATAGGTTCCTTCTTGATCAATGCTCACAATAATCAAATCAGCAATGTCACAATAGTAAGGAGTTATAGTTTCTAGAATCCGAAACACTATACTATGTAGATTTGAACAGTGGAATTCTGAATTCAAAATAAAATTGATCCACAACATAAAAAACACATCTAATTTTCTAAATAAAACCAAGCAAATCATTTTTATAAGCTTTTTTTTATAACTATATACAGTATATACAGTATATAAATATAAATATTAATATGATATATATATATAATTAAATTTAATGATCCAGGATTCTCTGTAATTTTACAAATTTGTAAAATTAAATAGAGTATATATTAAATTATTAAATTTAGTTGATCAATTATTTGAATTATTCCTATTAAAGTTTTAAAACCTTTTAACATAAATGATTTGTTTAACTTCTATTGATCTTCACTATATAATATTCATGAGAATCTAACCTTCTTGTTATTCTTTCAATAGTCAACTGCCTTAAAGTATAGTAACTACGCATATGCTGTATAATTATGATACGGAAGGATCTCTAAATATATTTTCTATTCAAAATTATATATTAAAGCTTCTTTCTAAATGTACACATTGTTCTAAATACTGACTTAGTTTCACATGATTAAGAGCCAGGTATTATTCACCGCCCGCTTGACTTAATTATGCATTGGCCAATTGGGGTATTAGATACTACAGTATCATAGTGCAGCACTATATGATTGGCCTACTATTTAAAGATTTTTAAAATTTTATCGATCAATTTATTTTCATAAAAAATTTATCATAATAAAAACCGTGTGTTATAACCCTCGCTCTAGCAGAGAAAATTCAATTCTGTAGCTTGCAAATGATATATAAATAGGATGCTTTTAAAAGAATTTATATTATATATGTATAGTATAGAATCGCAAATATGTCAAGTATGCTATATTATACATAATGTATAGTGGTA